GTTACGAGAGATGATCTTGAACATTAATCAAAAGTCTAAAATGTGTAAATTCACTCAGTCTGTCTTCACAGCGAATCGGGTTTGGCGACGCCAATCCTCGTATAAAATAAAGTTGACAGCCTCTCTCATCTCATCTATTGTGTATTATAGTATTCTATGGCTTTATTGTATCATGTTATGTATATAATAATTTAAAAAAATGAATGTTGATTTTGGGATTACCTTATGGAGTGTACCTCTATACTCCATGGATTACTTGTTAATTTTAGAAGTTTTTAATAATTAAAAAACAGGCTCTATTATATCAAGTTATGTATATAATTTTAAAGAAAATTAAATATTGATTTTGGGGATTACTTGTTAATTATTAGTTTTTAATACTTAAAAAACATTCCCTGTAGCATATTTTGGCCAGTTTAGGAGTTGGATCATTTCTGCACAACACTGTTCAAGTATCCTAACGTAAATATTAATTAAGAAAAAGAACATGTTTCGTTTTATAAACAGTTTTTTTTTAAATAGTTTCTACTTCTGGTTTGAAAACAAACCAGAATGTGGGCATCCTCTGGTTTATTTTCGTATGTGGTAGACATTGTTAACACTGCACTTTTAATGCGCCGACGCAACGATGTGTTAACTCATTTTTTAAAAATGTGTTGGCATACAGCGCAGGACCGAGAAATTCGGAAAGTACCTATTAAGATGTTGTTATTTTATATTATTTTTACAAATTGCAACACTGTGAAATGTAAAAGGAGTGTCTTACACTTCTACATTTTATTTCACTTGCTGGCCGGGTTTTTATTTTGACAGATATGGCTGTGTTGACAGACGTGCTTAAAATTTGTTGCGCCGTGGTGCAATTTTTTGTTAATGCCATTGCGTTAACTCAAAATTTGCTGCAGCCGGCGCAGTAAATTACGTATGAGTTACTGAGGTAATGCAATGAAGTTCATAATACCCTTGTCTACTCTGTGGCCTCTTACGTCACCCACGTATTGTCCAATTGTCCATATGTCCATATTTTTGGGGGAAATTCTTACAATGCCACTGCACAGTGTACCACGGAAACTATCGCATTAATATTTATTTATAAGAAAGTTATTCGCAGATATCTAACGATAGTTTTAGAATGAAGTATGAAGTTGAGTCATAATGAACAATTATTTATTATTACCGTTGTCAACAGCAATTACCGGCAGTGATTTGTTACAAACCACTGCCGGTGATTCTCCCAATGATTTATGTGTCAAGATTAACGTTTGCTAAGATAAGCTAATTTAAATTTAATGACTTTATCTTAAAGTACGTTTTACATTACAAACTACGACACGGGTGTCTATTAAGAAGATTTATTTATGAATTTTTTGAAATCACCAAAACATATCCAAGTTTTTCGAAAAAATATAGCTTAAATCAGCATTGCTCTTTATCTGTTCATAATGTTCCATCAATCATCGCAATAAGTTCAACCATTCCGAAGAGCCCGGAGCTACTTACAGACAAACAAAAATTTAAAAATGTTTATTCATGTTTTTGGGGAATGCGAATAACCCCCTTATCTTAATTAAACGCAATTATGTTGATATTACAGATACACTTCAATTTTATTTATAAGTACGTATAGATAATGTATTATTATAATATATTTATTATATTGGATGACCTTACCGCCCTCATATTATCGTCTGGAAAAAATATGGTGTAACATATTGTTGCGCGCCTAAGTTGACGTCATGTTGTGTCAGGGACGAGAGCGGGGGGAACTTTCCAGAAAATGACATCACTAATCTTTCAACCGATAGCGCCATCTAGTGTCGAAACGAAGAACTAAGCTTCTAGAAGCCGACACTCGAACTTTCGACGCCTTGCGCGTATTTACTTGAATGTTCTGGATGTTTCGGTGCTAATGTGTATTTATAGGCGCTGCAAGGTGGTGGCGATCAAAGTATTGAATTTGGCGAGACAAGCGAAGCTTCGGAGCGAAATAAAGTGAATCAGTGTGATTAATTATTAGTGTTTTAAGTTTTAATTGGTGTAAAGAAAATTAAAGTGTTAATTTAGGTAATTCTATCGGCAATTTTTACTGTCACGAACCTTAAGCTCGTAACAATTGGTGTCAGAAGTGGGATAAAATCATGCCGATTTTACCTAAGGAGGAAACGGAGGGTGTCCGTACCCGAAATCAACGCCAGCAGGAGACGGACCAAAGGAGATTTGGTGCTGCAACGCCGCAGACGTCGGAGGGCCAGCCGCCGGCTACGGGCCCGTCAGTAGCTCCTATATCTGCAGCACCTGACTTAGGTGCTCTGATGGTGATGCTGCAGGAACAGGCTCGCCGACAGGAGGAACAGGCTCGCCGACAGGAGGAACAGGTCCGTCAGTTAAAAGAGCAGCTGCAGAGCGGACAGGATGAACAGGCCCGGGGGGGGGGGGTTGGGGGGGGGTGTGGGTCGGTTGGAAGAGCAGATGCTCTTCATGAAGGACCTTCACGCTACCTTCGGGAAGGAGATAAACGAGGTGAAGGATAGGGTTGCTCAGCATGATAACCGCCTGTCGGAAGCTGAAACCCAAATCGCGAAAGCTGAAACCCGAATCGAGAAAGCTGAAACCCGAATCGACCAAGTGAACAATCGGGTTGACAACGTGATGGCTGACGTGAAGAAAACGCTGGATGACCTCAAACTGGGGGATGGAATTACAGCTCCCGTAGTAGCTGCAACACTTTCGCTACGTGGGTTCAAGGTGCCAACGTTCGACGGGACTTCTTCCTGGTCGGCCTACAAAATCCAGTTAGAAGCTTTTATGAAGTCGAACGGTTGGAATAAAAGTCAGGCCATGAGTGCTCTCACACTAGGCCTGCGCGACCAGGCCTTAATAGTTCTGGAGGCTCTCGGTGAGGAAATGACTTATGAGCAACTCCTTGAGGCATTGGAGGCGAGATACGGCGACGCTCACCTGGAACACGTCTTTCGTGCGCAGCTTAAAGTTTTCGTTGCGTCGGGAAACGAGTAAAAGCCAGAACTGCGGGGCGGGTGCTGGCTGATGTTAAAAGAGCCCCAAGGATCTCGATCTCACAAACCCATGATGGGAACAGTCTAATCATCAAGGGCGAGGTCAACGGAATGCCGTGTAAACTGACCATAGACACTGGAGCCTCTCGTGCGGTTGTTAGTTCCCAACTTATAAGTCAGTTCCTTGGGAACTCCGCATACAACCGAGAACGCATTAATTTGGTAACAGCCACCGGCCAGCGTATACCCGTCCGTGGAGAGAAGGAGATGGAGTTGAAGCTAGGCAACGTGATCTACCTGCATAATGTCATCGTGGCTGATATAATGGACGACTGCATCCTAGGCCTAGACTTTATGAGGAATAATTGTTGTGAGATCGATAGCGATACGTTAAGCAAGGTGTTTTGAAATGTGGACAGGAGGAACTTTTTATGGAAGGTGCATTACCAGGGAACGTGTACAGCATTAAGAAGATTGTTCTTCCACCGAGATCGGAAACGATTGTGCCGGTTAGTCGTCCTCGAAACGCTGGGCAAGCTCACCGTTGTGTACTTGTGGAAAGGGTGGGCAATGACCTTCCATGGAAAGTAGCTCGAACCTTGGTCAGAACCACTGACATCTCAGGAGTACGTGTGCTGAACCTTTGTGACCGGGAACAGATTATAGAAAAAGGCACGCTGGTTGGTACTTGTGAGGAAGTGGATTGGTTACGTCGGTGCCAATATCTATCGAGTGAGACCCCTAGCAAGGATGCACAAACGAGAGTGACCCCACTTTTGGAAGACTGTCGCAGCTGAACGCCCCGAACGAAATGGTCAAGGTAAAGAAGTTGTTACTCAAGTACGCCGATGTATTCTCATCAAACGATGCTGACATAGGAAAGACTGGCTTAGTTCAACACAAAATAAACACAGGAGAAGAATTGCCTATCCGTCAGCGGCCAAGAAGATTGCCGGCAGCACGTGAAAAGGAAATAGAAACCATGATTGAAGGAATGGTGAAGGATGGTGTTATTGAAACTTCCTCTAGTCCATGGTGTTCACCCGTGGTGCTGGTAAAGAAGAAGGATGGCAGCATGCGGTTTTGTGTTGACTACCGCCGTCTGAACGACGTTACGAAGAAGGACAGCTATCCCTTGCCAAGAATTGATGACACGCTGGACATGCTTACAGGAGTAAAGTGGTTTAGCACGCTGGATCTAAAAAGTGGCTACTGGCAAGTTGAAATTGACCCTAAGGACAAGGAGAAAACTGCGTTCTCGACAGAAAAGTGTCTGTGGCAATTTAAAGTAATGCTGTTTGGGTTGTGCAATGCTCCAGCAACGTTTGAAAGGCTGATGGAACTTGTACTTACCGGGCTAATTTGCGATGCCTGTCTGGTCTACTTGGATGACATCATCATCGTGGGCCGTACGTTTGAGGAACACCTTCAAAACCTGGAATGCGTGCTCATGAAGATTCAGAGTGCCAACAGACTAACTATCAATCATCATCAAGTTTGCTATCATTTTCTCATTACTTTGTGTGATTGTCTCGTTTATGCTTTTTTTTATTGTTGATAGGTATATGGAATGAATGATCTTTGAGTAAGTTCGAAATTCAAATTCAAATAGTAACTAACTAAATAGCACAAAGAGTTTTTAGTTAAGTTTCACATTCACGGTTTTAGAATTTAATAGATGGTAGGTTTCGTTTCCTGTCTAGAAGTCCGTCCGCTGAGTTTCGATCTGAAAAGGGTATAGATAGCCTGTATAATATAGATGTTGGGGCAAACCATCTTTCATCATCATCTTTGTCTTTGTTTGAGGGTGGTTGGAGTTATTTTGGTAACTCTCATTCTACTGTGGGTGTTTTATTACGAATTTATAAAAGGTTACTAGATTCATACTTCAAGAATAAAATCAAATTAGAAAATGAAATAATTGTAGTGGTCCGATGACGTCACTATAATTTGAGAAGCCAATCCAACGAATAAAATAGTACTTACCAAAAGCATAAGCGAGGTCAGCATCGTAGTTATCTTTCTCCCCCATCGGTCCGCAAGATCTCCCGCCAAAAACCCGCAAAAGATCGGCGGTATGAAAATGGCAGAAGCCATCCAGGATATGGTGTCATCGGTGATGGGTTCTGGCGCGGGACCCCCGGGGTCTTGTAGAATCGGTGTCATGGGTGACTGCCAGCCCATCAGCATACCCAAATTCATGACTGGGATTGTCACTGAAAATTATTTTAACCGTTATAATTTATTAAAGCCAGATCTTAAAGCAAAATTCTATCAAGGTCATATCATTTACCCGACTGCCCCAGAAGAAGGGTTATGTTTTTTTTTGAGTGTATGAATGTACGTATATCTATTTCTTTGGCACGGTCTGTAGCCTGAATGTGTTGATGAATTTAAACATATGGGGAGTTGTTGGATTAGTTATAGAGAGCCGCAGCATGTGCCTACCATTAGTTCACCTGTGTGCTCACTTCACACCCTTACTTCTTAAAAAAATATCCCGTCGTACACACAGTAGTATTGTTTGAAATACCAAAAATGTATTCCGTAAATCTAGTATGACATTGATTGTTCTTTTGTAAAGCTTCTTTAAACATTTATGACGGGTCTTATCAGCGGAACCAATTCCTAAGCGTGTCAGATAACATCTTTGCGTCTAAATAAATATTAAGATAATTATTAAGAATTCGGATTGTACATTGTTTCATATTTTATTTCTAAGGCCGACTATGATGAAAAGGGTTAAATAAAATATCTTTACTGCTCATAGCTGGCTGCAACTACTCCACAATATCTATGTCTTTGATTATAGACAGGTATATAATCAAAGATATATGTATTCTTAAGTACAACACCTTCCCCTTTATAAACTGATAACTGAATTCTATATTAATATATATATATATATATATAATTATATACATACAACACGTAAGATAATTAACGTACTTTGAGAAAGTAGTTTGTTCAGAATCGTTTACTGAATCGATTCCTATCATTTTTAATATAGGTAATTTTTTATCCTAAAAATAATTAAAACTACGTAAATTACAGTCTCATTAAATCTGTACAGTCAAAACGAACTGAAATGAACCGTAACTTAAGGCAATAAGACTTTTAAGAGTGCAGTTTTATTTGTATTATTACAAATTCTGTCATTTAATAAAAATAAAGAAAAATGAACTTTCTTTTAAGCACGTTAAAGTCTTTGCATTCGTGGATTTGTACTGTGACCACAACATTCTTCCAGAATTATTATAACTAATTTGATAAATAATTAGTGCATAAAAATGTTTAACAGTGTGTGTATTATAATTATAAACTAATTAGGGTGTCGGAGGTTGTGCGTACTAAAGCATCTTAAAGTTTCTATGTCTATATACCACTACCTAACACGACACGATCTTGCAAATAATAACGTAATAATTTTAAACACCTATAGTCTTTATTTTAACGCTTAATCTTTTTCCTCAAAACCAAAGCTTTTTGGAGGTCTACGTTAGGTTGTTCATCAGAAATACGAACGGCTTTATGATAAGAAATTACTAAAAATATCTGATCTGTCCCTGACATTTAACGACCGTTAATATGCGGCAGAGCCTGAGATACTGGCAATAACGTCACGCTCGTCGACTGTAATATTATTTTAGTTAAATCATTTTTTGCCGAAATAAAAATATTAATCAAACTGTGCTGTAGATGTCGGATCGATCACACTCTTCTCAGTGTGACCATAAACTAAAACTAACGGACAAACAAACTTGTAGACATGGTAGAGCCACGCTGCAGCTATATTATGGTTGTAGTACGAGTGGGTCGGCTCGACCACGGTAAACTTTACGTTGTTGGTGAGTGTAAGTATTATATAAAGGAATTATATATATTTTTTTTTTTTATATATATATATATATACTTTTCAAAAAAAAAGACCGGGGGGGGGCAAGCCAGGGGGTTTTGTTGTTGTAAGAAAAAAAAAAAAGCCACTCCGTCATCCACAAGGGGTGGGGGAAGGGGGACTGCGAGCAATCACTCCAGTGGGCCTTCACCGTTATCTGAACTCAAGTCTAACGCCACTTAGCACAAAATTATAATCGAAGAGGAACGCGGTCTCCTGCCGGGTCACAAAGTTTTAGCGTTCCACCCGACAAAGCAAAAATTACTTCGTACGATATTAAAATACCACACAAGCAACTCGTCGACGCAAATTGATGGCAATCGAAGTTAAATTAATCACTCAAACTCAAGGAATGCCTCGTTGTCACGTATACGAACGAAATAAGACAACGCAAAGGAGGTAGTCTTAACGCGACCTAACGATTCTAACGTAACTTCCCGACATCTAACCGACACGGCTGTCGCAGACAATTGATTGTTCCAGACTAATTGGCCCAAACCATCAAACGGGTTTATCGCCCGAGACGAGCGTTTTCGCAAGTTTCAAGTTATTACGATTTGGCCTAAACAAATCCCCGTCCCGGGATAAGGACTTATGTCCGCGAGTAAATTGGCAAACGGGATGGGGTTGCGACGGCACGTTGCAAGACCGAATCTCCAACCAAAACCTCGGCCACTCTAGGCACCCCATCCGGTCCATACGTCAACTTAACAATGCGCCCACGGCGCCAATAGAAAGGCAAAGCGTTGGGTTCCTTACCTAACACGAGGTCTCCAACCCGAGGAGGATCCGTCTTTTCAGACCACTTAACGCGCTGCTGCAAAAGATGTAGGTACTCCAGAGACCATCGGTGCCAAAAACTCTGAGTCATTCGTTGCAGCTGGTCAAATCTGCTCAACCGCGCAGAGTTTATTTCTCTGAAGGAGTGCTCGGGCAGGGCGTTAAGCGGCTGGCCAATCAGGAAGTGGTTATAACCACCCGGGGTTATAACCTCCAAATTATTCGGATCGGGCGAGAGGGGACAGAGGGGCCGAGAGTTGAGTACCGCACAAGCTCCTCAAATGTCAAAATAGTATCGCCAATAACGCGACGGAGGTGCGTTTTTGCAACCTTAACCACCGCCTCAAAAATACCGCCCCAGTGTGGGCAAGCCGGAGGGTCGAATTTTCACTGGATGCCCTTCTTGGACATCGCAGTATCTAAATAAGTCCTGTTGCTGGACAGAAATTCGACGACCTCTTTCAAATATCTATCCGTGCCCTTATAATTCGTTCCGCAATCAGACCGGATCAGGTCCGGCAAACTGCGACGCGATACGAAGCGGCCCAGCGTGGCCACAAAGGCTTCAGTGCTGAGGGCACTTACAAGTTCTAAGTGAACGGCCTTAGTGGCGAGGCACACGAAAACGCACAGATAGGCCTTATGTGAACGCGCGTTACGAAGGTTGGAGGACTTGACGAGGAAGGGTCTAGCAAAGTCGGTACCGACTCCAACGAATGGTCGGACGGCTCTGACGCGGTCGGGTGGTAAGTCACCCATCATCGGCTGCGATATGGTGGCCTTCAATTTATAACAAGGTATGCACTTAAAAATGACGCTCCGAATGGTGCGTCGAGCAGCCAAAATCCAAATCTCCCGCTGCAAAATAGCCGAAAGAGCGTTACACCCAGCGTGGGCATTCTGAACATGGTGATGAGTTACCAGCAACCGAATAATGGCGCCGTCCTTAGGGAGCAGTAACGGGTGTCGAGCCCCGTACGGCAGTTGCGAATTTTTCAAACGTCCGCCAACGCGCAGCATCCCAGCGTCGTCTAGGAAGAGGTTCAGGCGGGCCAGAGCGCCCTTGACAACGGAGCCCCGATTCAAGGTGTCAATCACGGGCTCAAAATGCTCCGCTTGGACCATACGGGTCCGATGCATCAAGGCTTCGCGACGCTCGCTAGGGGACAAAACGGAATTAGAGATTCGGTTGGACGGGTCTCTCGAATTGCGGACAAATCGACGCAACCAAGCAGTCAAGAGCTTTATCTTAAGAGCTTATCGAGAGAGCTGTACCGTTCTAGCAGGGAAAAATCCCGAGTGGGCTTATCCTTGCCCACTTCTACTCGGGCTCGTAGGCCAGGCAATTCAATTGGTTCGGAGTATTTATTCTGGGGCCAGAACGACTGAGACTCAGTCAACCAACTGGGCCCCCACCACAGCGGGTGGTCAACCAAAGAGGGGGCTTCACAGCCGCGAGAAGCGCAGTCTGCGGGATTCAACTCCCCTGGGACATGTCTCCAGTTTAGAGACGTGCAAGAATTCTGGATTTGAGACATGCGGTCCGCCACAAAGACCTCAAGATTGTGAGTGAAGTATGGCCAGAAGAGCTCTCAGTACCCAAATATTCGACAGCAACGTAGCCTTTCTCAGAGGCGTCGCAAAATCGATGCAGGGTAGCCCTGCATTTCCCTTGGATTCTTCCGAGGGAGAAAGTACCTTGGCATGGAGACCCGGTTGATGTCCGGAAGGGAAGACACAATGGAGAGCCACTCTCGCAAGAGAGCACCGCTTGTAGGGTCGTCCCAACCCAACCCGGATATCCAGAGCTTTTGAAGAAAGCACTTAGCCAAAAAAATGACCGGAGTGATCCATCCATTAGGATCGAAGGTGCGGGCTACAGTCGACAGCACGGAGCGCTTGGTCCATGATTTAGGAGGGGGATCGAGTTTGACTCGATACGTGAAAGTATCCTGAACAGGCCGATATTGAATGTCCAGTACAGTCAACAAATTGGGATTTTCAGGGTGCTCGAATAGATGAGGGTCTTGTTGATCCTCTCCTGGGAGGTCCTTCAAAATATTACAGGGGAGTTCGATAACCGTTTGCTCAACTCATAACCTCCGGACTTCAGGATGGCAATCAATTCGTCTCGCAATACAAGAGCCTCCTCGACGGTGGAGGCGCCCGTGCAAATGTCGTCCATGTAGACCGAAGTCTCCAACATAGAAGCCCCCCGAGTGTATCAGACGCTCTCTCTCAGCGAGTTCGAGGAGGGTTCGCATGGTGATATACGGGCTGGACCGGAGTCTATAAGTGGTGGTGTTCAACTCAAACACCTGTATCGGATCGCTGGGCTTCTCGCGCCACAATATCGGCTGACATCGATGGTTATCACGATGGACCACTGATTGTCGAAACATCATCCGAATGTCGGCTACTAAAACCACTTGGTGCCCACGGAAGTGGGTCAAAATGTCGGATATGTCCTTGATCAATTTAGGACCAGAGTGGAGACACTGGTTCAGGGACACACCATTTGACGAGGGGGCGGAGCCGTCA